AACAACAACAACAACAACCCTCTTTTAGATATACTTGTACACTCCTCCACACCCACACATAGCCACCCACACTTACTCCCTCACACACATACTCTTTCCCCTTCTCCCATATCTGTACATCTTAACTCATGAGTCCCAAGATTCAGATGGTGCAGTTCACAAGTCCCCTCCGTTTGGTTGCCTCTTCACTTTTCTGCACACAACAAATAAACTTCTGAAGTAAGTTGATCACAAAAGGACAAATATGGTATGATTATATGAAATATCTAGAACAGACTAGTGTCTAGAGACCAAATGTTATCAGTGATTAGCAGAAGTGGGTGGAAGGAAGGGGGAAAGAAAGATATAATGCTTAGGAGACAGCTTCTGTTAAGGGTGATATAAAAAATTGGGACTGGTGAATGGTGATGGCTGACAACATAAGGAACATAATTAATGTCACTGAACTGTGAAGAATATAGAGATGGCAAATGGTCTGTTACTTATATATTTACCACAGTAAGAAAAAATAAATAGGAAAATATTTACTTCTGCAGATCAACATATAGCATAGTTTACAAATGTTCTTCCTGTCCTGTTCTCCTTCTACCTCACATGGGCCCTTGTCTTCCCACAGTCACACCGGGAAGGAGGCTATCCACGTCACAGTTCCTGATGCCATCACCGAGTGGAAGGCCATGACTTTCTGCACCTCCCAGTCCACAGGCTTTGGTCTTTCACCCACTGTTGGATTAACTGCTTTCAAGCCATTCTTTGTTGACCTGACTCTCCCTTACTCAGTAGTTCGTGGGGAATCCTTTCGCCTTACTGCCACCATCTTCAATTACCTAAAGGACTGCATCAGGGTGAGAGCTAAGGATACAGGGAGGTGGTGTCGGCATTGGAACCACAGCACACTCTCCCTATGGGCTTAATTGGAAGCATTTGGATTTTCCCTTGGAAAGAGATGAGATATCATTGTCTCTGCTACTGAGTTTTTCTGAGCCTCTGTCTGTACTCTGTGTTGCTCAAACCTTTTCTCTCAAACATTCCTTTTAGGTTCAGACCAACCTGGCTAAATCAGATGAGTACCATGTGGAATCCTGGGCACACTCTGAGGCCTCCAGCTGTCTCTGTGCTGATGAAGCAAAAACCTATCACTGGAATATTACAGCTATCAAATTAGGTAAGAGAGGGAAGTGGCAGATAGGCAAGAAAAAACTAGAGAGAAACCTTGTTGGGTCATTCATCATGAATTGGGGTCACCTCGACAGCAAGTTTAAGTTTTTAAACTTAAGGTTTTAAGTTTAAGAAGCAATGGTCTAGAGGAGAAAAGATATCACTGGTGCCTCTGGCAATACGACTAAGGCATTCCTTCCTCCTCCTTTCTCCTCAGGTCACATAAACTTTACCATTACTACTGAGATTCTGGACAGCAATGAACTCTGTGGAGGTCAGAAGGGGTTTGTTCCAGCAAAGGGTCAAAGTGATACACTTATCAAGCCAGTTCTGGTCAAGGTAAGGTTTCTGCAGGCCCAGCTTCCAAGGTAGAGACAACAACCAACCCAGGACCGTAACCATACCAGTTAGTCTTGCAAGGAAGTCTTACTCCAACTCCAACCAGGTAGCTTCAACTTTCTCCTTCCCTGGCCCCTTTATACGTTAGCCATTTACCTAACCCATACCTCTGATCTATGAAATCCCAACCACAGTGCCTGGCATATTATAGACATGCAAGGAATGTTAACTTCCCTTACCAAAATCATTAACTTCATCATTAAAGCATCATAGATGCTCCCCCTCCCATCCCACTATGAATCCCCATTGTCAATCCTTCCTCTTCCAAGTTTCCTAATCTTACCCTTGCTCAGAAAGATGTATACCAATAGGTCCGTCCTATTTGGTCAAAAATAAAGTCCTGAGCTTTAAAAACAAGCTTTGTTCTCAATAGTCCTGAGTAAAGCCCAGTGCACAGGTAGGGTCTCTTCTCCCAACTACTGCCCCCGCTTCCTATTCTTTCCTTACCACTTGCCCTGACATTCATGTTCACTGTTTCCACCGGATTGTGTCTCTCTGTACGTCAGCCGGAGGGAGTCCTTGTGGAAAAGACACACAGCTCACTGCTGTGCCCAAAGGGTGAGTCGAGTTGGGGTTGGGGATGGGGAGTTGGTGGTGAGAACCCTTAGGCGGCAGAGATTCTCATAGGCAAAAGGAGGAATGTATAGGGTAGAAGGACTAAGATAGTGTAGGGGTGCCACCTTTTCTGGGGCCAATGAAGAGAAAGAACAGCAGGGATCATGACACTCTTTGGAATGTATTTTCAGCAAAAATCACTATGAATAGGTAAAAGAACTCTGGTAAAAGAGAGCTCTGGTTTGTGGAAAGGTTTTGTGTGGTTTGGGCCTGAGAACCCACACTATTTTCACCTTTTATTGTCTCACAGGTAAGGTGGCTTCAGAATCCATCTCTCTGGAACTCCCTGTGGATGTTGTCCCTGATTCAACCAAGGCTTATGTTACTGTTCTGGGTAAGCAGCTAGAGATTCTTGGCTGAGAAAGAACAAGTGGGGTTGGAAGCTGCATAGGTATGGAGTGGGCTGTGTGTGTAAACCCCTCTGCAAGAAGGTGCAATAAATTAGAAGTAGTGATGAAGGAAGAGATTGTTTTATATAGTGGAGAGATACAGAGCACAGATAACATTAGAGATGGTATTAGATGCATACTGTAATTAAACACAGAAAGGAGTCTGGGCAGGAAGAAATGAAAGGTAACCAAAGCTTAGGCTTAGGTAGTCTAGAAATTGGATAGAGAGGACAAAAGGTTTGCAGCAGCCATTTAAAAAATTAAGAACTCACCTATCTGAACATAGTTTAGGAAAGATACAAACATATTTCCATAGGCAAAGCCACTGCACTACCGTCGGCAAGGAGGGGAGTGAATAGAAAAGCGTACACTTGAAAATCATATTAAACCGGGTAAAGTACCTAGCTCTACCATGTCAAGACATGGGACCTTGGACAAGTTGTTTAACAATGCTCTTTTATTGCATTTTGAGCATGTTATTGTGGCTTGGGTGAAAGTTTACAGAGCACATTAGTCCCATTCAACAATTCATACATGTTATTTATGGTTCATGACATGAGCTGCAGTCTCCTCGGTGTAACAACACTCTTCCCACTCCTCCCTGGATTCTCCATCTCTGTTCAACTGTCTTTCCTGCCCCTTCTTGCCTTAACTGTGTTTTTGGGTGATTGCTACCCCTTTGATCTCTTGTGGTGATTGTTCTGAGAAGTACGACTCTTAGAATATTATCTATTATTTAATGATTCTGACCCCTTCTGTAAGACATGATAATAGCATGAACTTTCTCAGGGTTGGTGTGAAGATTAAATGCAATATAGATAAAATTCTCAGCATGATACATAGCATATAGTAGAAATCTTTTAAATTTTGGGTTCTTCCTTTACTCTTTTACTCCCTTGCGAGGGCTTTTACAGGCCAAAATGTCCCAGTTTCAATGTATTTTATTCCTATCTCTGGGATAGCTCGTTTTCTTTTTCTGTAGTTTACTGTATATGTCTGTCTTCCATACTGCATTCTGAGGACAAGAGCTGTACCCTTTTCATTTCTGTTCCTAGTACAGTTCCTGAAACATAGATTTGAATTTACTTCAATGGCTAAACTGCAGATATTAATGAGATGCTATGTCAGGCTGGATGGCTTATAAAGTGTATAGAGGGGTCTGTAGACATAATCTGGGAAAGGGTGTCAGGATTGTGTGTGTTTAGAAGGGATTTAGAGGGTGATGTTTCATATGCAGTGGAGGAATTTAGAAGTTGGGTTTTCTGTAATAAAACATAATTTTTAGAGTATAAAGTATAACCCATCCATGACATGTCTCCTGAAAAGTTCTGAACTCCCTTGGGTGTCCTAGGTACTGGAGTCCTTGGGTGGTGCAAACAGTTAATGCCCAACTTGGGTGGCTAACCAAAAAGTTGGAGGTTTAATTTGCCAAGAGATACCTCGGAAGAAAGGTGTGGGGATCTATTTCCAACAAAAGCAGCCAAGGAAAACAAAGTAGAGCACACTTCTACTCATGCTACGCATGGGATCTTCAGGAGTCAGAATGGATTCAATGGCATATGGTTCTGCATATCTAGCATCTTTTACATACCCAATGTTGAATTATAGTCCTATATTCTAACTGTTAGTAATGAATTATAATTGGAATGTGTTGGAGTTGTTTGGCCTCTGTGAGCTCTGAGGAGAATAAGTGTTTGTCTTATTGTTGTATCCTCAGAGCACATCGTAAACCCTTATTCAATGATAGCTAATATGTGTTTGTTAAATGAATGATTTTTTAAATATAAAATCTTATGATTTAAAAAAAAAATCTTAAGTGGTTTTTATTTTCCTGACCTCTATATTCTTTATCTTTTTTTTTTGGCTCCCAGGAGACATTATGGGCACAGCCTTACAGAACCTAGACAATCTGGTGCAGATGCCAAGTGGATGTGGGGAGCAGAACATGGTCATGTTTGCCCCCATCATCTATGTCTTGCAGTACTTGGAGAAGGCAGGGCTGCTGACTCAGGAAATCAGATCACGAGCAGCTGGTTTCTTGGAGAACGGTAAGGTGGTGCGGTCTTTCTTTCTTGGCTTTTCTTTTCCCTCTGGGTCTATGATAGACAGATTGAAAAAATACAGGGATGTCCCACCCCCTGAGATATCCAGGTTCTTGAGGAGAATGGGGGTGTCCTGAAGTTGTCACTTTGATGTAAAACCACATCTGGTTTCCCAGGGTACCAGACAGAACTGACGTATAAGCACAGCAATGGTTCATACAGTGCCTTTGGGGAACAGGATGAAAATGGAAACACCTGGTAAGATTCCCTATTTCCCAATGAGTCCTCTGAACTGTCCTTCCCCTCTCTCCCTTTTCCCATTCCTTCTTGCACCCAGCCCTCCACCTCTCTGGTATTGTTGATTTCAGCTTCTCATATGGCTGAGTCCCTCATCCTTCTGATCTCATGCCCTCCCCACTTCTCATGCCTATTAAAACCCAAGCTTCCTGTGGCATTATGTTTCCTCAACTCTCCTTCTAGAGCCACACACCAGAGAAAACTGAGACCCTTTGCATCCTCACCAGGAAATCTGCTTCAAGCCATGTTTCCTTTTCCCCCACGTAGGTTGACAGCTTTTGTTACCAAATGCTTTAGCCAGGCTCAAGAATTCATCTTCATTGATAACAAGAACATCCAGGATGCTCTCAAGTGGATGGCAGGAACCCAGCTTCCCAGTGGCTGCTATGCCAATGTGGGAAAGCTCTTTCATACTTCTATGAAGGTGAGGGTCCTCCAGCTTACTCAACATGTCTGGGAAGAACTTGTTCTTCTGGCTGAGCAGTATCCAACAAGCACTAGCCTGGCCGTCAGCATTCTTCAGGTCTCAGCCCTGATTCTGAGTGACCTTGACCAATGCACTTAACAGTGTAGGCCACAGCTTCCATTTCTATGGTGTTTTGAGGTGCCATCGAGTCTGTGCTTGCCCTATGAACAACAGAACAAAACGCTGCCCGGTCCCGCACCATTCTCACAATTGTTGTAATGCTTGAGCCCATTGTTGTTCCCATGTCTATAGAATGGGAATATGTTGTAGAACATGGTTCTCAAAGGGTGATACCCAGATCAGAAGTATAGTATCACCTGGGAACTTGGTTGCAAGGCAAATTTCAGCCCCATTCCAAACCTACTAAGTGAGAAACTCTGGGAGTGTGGGCCTGTATTTTAACTAGCCTTCTAGATCATTCTGATGTTTGCTGAAAATTGAGAACCACTAGACTAGAAGAAAGGAGCTCTGGTAGTGTCTCCTCACAGTCAGCAGTTCAAAATTACCAGTAGTTCTGCAGGAGACAGATGAGGCTTTCTGCTCCCGTAAAGATTTACAGCCTCGGAAACTCTATGCAGGGTTGCTACGAGTCAGAATCGACTCCACAGCACATCACCACCATCACCACCAGACTAGAAGCTCTCTGGGACTTTCACCATCTCCTGAAATCTGGAACACAATATAAGAAAAGCTGTTTCTCTAGCGGGGACTATTAGGTAGTCCAATGTCTTTTGTAACACTGCCTACAACAAAGCTAACCTTAACTAGGGTTTACTCTGTGTCAGGTACTCTTCTAAGTACTTTATAAAATTTTATATTATTTAAGGCTTACAATAAATCAATGAGACGGTACTTATATCACATTATTAATTCCATTTTACAGATGCAGAAACCAAGGCATTGGGATTAAATTGTCCAAGGCCACTGCTGATAACTGCTAGAACTCCAGTTCGTACCATGGCAGGCTGGCCCCATAGGCACTGCTCTCAATCCCTCGAAAGTGACCAGTTATTCTTAGTTGCCATGGAGATGGCTCTGTCTCATGGCAATCTTATGCACAAGAGGCCTTCCGAATGTTCACAGAAAATTTCTATTATCTTTTGAATTCCATGTCTCCACTAACTTTTTGAAGCCCCCTCATGTAACAGAAGGGAGTGTTGGCCAGTTCTGTGATGCTCCTCCCAAACACAGGATGAGATGCAGATGTTGGAGGATAACTGAGCTCAGAACATACTCAGTTTTAAAGAAAGATTCGTATGAACTTTCCTAGACAAAGCATTTACATTGCTGTTCCAGAGACTGGATTAAATAGTTTGAAGCGTCCGGGAAAAAAAAATCTCTATATAGCTATTGTTGTTGTTGTTGTTAATTTCTGTACAGTTGGTTCCAATCCATAGTGACCCAGTATTGGGTTTCCAAGGAGCAGATTGTGGGCTTGAACCTCCAACCTTGCCGTTCAAACTGACCTTGTGGTCCAGCATATTATCCTGCAGTGCCACACCAGGACTGTAGCTACTTTAAAAAAAAAATTATCTTCAGCAAAATTGTATTTGTCTGTATCAACGATATTGATAAGAAATACTAATGAAACCTATAGTGTTAGGTGCTGTTGAGTCAGTTCCTATTCATAGCGACCCTATGCACAACAAAACAAAACTATCCAGTCCTACACCAATCTCACAATTGCTGGTACCCTTGAGCCCATTGTTGCTGCCACTGTGCCAATCCATCTTGTTAGGGGTCTTCCTCTTTTTCATAAAGTGGAAGGTCAGCAGCGAAAATTAAACGACATATTGCATTGGTTGCCAAAGACTTCTTTAAAGTGTTAAAAAAAAAAAAGAAGAAGAAGCTAAGATGTCACTTTGAGGAATAAGGTTCTCCTGACCCAAGTCATGGTATTTTCAGTTGCCTCATGTGCATGTGAAAGCTAGACAATGAATAAAGAAGACTGAAGAAGAATTGATGCCTTTGAATTATGGTGTTGGCAAAGACCGTATACCATGGACTGCCAGAAGCATGAAAGACTCCATCTTGGAATGCTTTAGTGACCTATCGGCTAGAATGCTCCTTAGAAACAAAGATGGCAAACGTCATCTCATTTACTGTGAATGTGTTATCAGGAGGGACCAGACCCTAGAAAAGGACACTATGCTTGGAAAAGCAGAAGATCAGCGAAAGAGGAAGACCCTCAGTGAGAATGAGATAGATTGACTCAGGGGCTGCCACACTGGACTCAAACACAGCAGTGATTGTGAGAATGGTGCAGAATTGGACAGTCTTTCTTTCTGTTGTACGTATGGTCACTGTGAGTCAGAACCAACTTGAAGGCACCTAACAATGGTCTCTCCTAAGGCATTCTCTTTCCTTACACGCAGTGCAAAATAGCCCTGGGACTAGTATAAAATTTTACTGGAATACATTCCTAGAAGTTTCTCTTACTTCTTTCCTGTGAAGTCAAGTTTAGTAGTTCAGTATTTGAGTCCAGAATCCAACTCCCTGAGTTCAAATCCCACTTCTGCTATTTTTGAGCTGTGTAATTTTGAACAAGTTTTTAAGCTTTTAAAGTGTTTGTTTTCTCATCGATAGAATGACGATAATAATTTAGAGTATTGTTGTTGTTAGGTGCCATTGAGTCAGTACCGACTCATAGAGACCATATATAAAATGAAATGAAACACTGCCCAGTCCTGGCGAACCCCACAATTGTTGCCACACTTGAGCCCATTGGTGCCGCCACTTTGCCAATCCATCTCACTGGGGGTCTTCCTCTTTTTCTCTGACCCCCCACCTTACCAAACATGATATCCTTCTCCAATGACTGGTCCCTCCTGACAATATGTCCAAAGTATGAGAGACGAAGTTTGGCCACCCTGGCCTCCAAGGAGCACTCTGGCTGCACTTCTTCCAACACAGATCTGTTTGTTCTTGTGGCAGCCCATAGCACTTTCAGTATTCTCCTCCAACACCATAACTCAAAAGCATCAATTATTCTACGGTCTTCCTTATTCACTGTCCAGTTTTGTATCCATATGAGGCTATTGAAAATACCACGGCTTGGGTCAGGCTCACCTTAGTCCTCAAGCTGACATCTTTGCTCTTTAACACTTTAAACAGGTCTTGTGCAGCAGATTTGCCTAGTGCAATACATCGTTTGATTTCTTGACTGCTGCTTCTATGAGTGTTGATAGTTGATCCAAGAAGAATTTAGACTAGGTCTGTTTAAAGCTTGCTAAGATCTTTTTATGAAAAGCTTTCAGCAGGGAAGGTCTTACCTAATTCCACTCCCTTCCCACTCCCATAGAAGAGGCTGGTGGTCCATTTGAAGATGGTCTATTTGGGTGGTATGGTAGAGATGTTCTCCCTGGTTCTCTTTGTTTACCGCTCATCTTCCCTAACCCCTTTTCTTGTGTGCCCTAAGAACCTACTCAGAGTTGAAGGCTACTCTAGGCTGCTATTCAGTGCTGTGTAGTTGTGGAAGTTCAGCCTTTTCTTCCCTCCATGTGTCCTAGAAGCTCAGGGTTGCAGTCAGCTTGAGGAAAGGGGCACTTTTAAAAACAATTCAAAGAGGATGCCTTTTTTGCAATTGCACACAGTCCCTGCCTGTCCTGGCTGCTGTCCTGACTTCTGCCTCCCTGTTCCCTTCTAGGGCGGTGTTGATGATGAGATCTCATTGACTGCATACATCACAGCTGCATTGCTAGAGATGGGAAAGACCATAGATGTGAGTTTTGGTCACTTTCCCTCTTTCTACTCTTCCTACCATACCTATTCCTAGGGAATTTCACCTCTCTTTGCCCAATCCACCTTTTAATCAGGAAAATGATATGATTTCTCTATGGCTTCCCATTTTACAAGGAATGCCTTATAAATTGTTACTCATCTTCACTTTTCAGGACTCAATGGTGAGCCGGGGTCTACAATGTCTCAAGAATACTGTTACCTCCACCACCAACCTCTACACACAAGCCCTCCTAGCTTATACTTTCTCCCTGGCTAAGGACATGGACATCAGGAAGAGTCTTCTTGAGAAAATAGATCAACAGGCTATCATATCTGGTATGCTGGTCAGGTTAAGAGTACTTCAGAAATTGTGAAAATATAATGCGAATCATCTACAATTTCCCCAATCTCTTCTGTCCCACATATATTTGATTCTAAGATTCTTTTTAGTAAAATTTCTAAGTCATAAAACCATTGTCGGGAACTTCGAGGGGAAGCGCATGTAAATCCTCATTGGGCAATATTATACTTTAACATGAAAAGAAAGTAGGTGGTAGAAGCGATTCAGAAAATTTATTGGCAAAACACACTTAATAAAGATAATGTTCTACCTCCTAATCTGATAAGTGGCAAAAGCTTGTGAGCAGTCATGTAAGAAGCAACTATTAGTCTCTTCCCACTTGGAGCATTGAAGAATGAGGAAAAACAAAAACTCAAGAAAGCAAATAGTTCAAAGGACTTTGTTGTTGTTAAGTACCACTGAGTCAATTCTGACCCATAATAACCCTGTAAGGAGATCTGTCAGTGTAGTGGTTATGAGTCGGGCTGCTAACCTCAAGGTCAGCTAGTTCAAAACTACTAGCGGTTCTGCAGAAGAAAGATGAGGTTTTCTGCTCCCATAAATATTTACAGCCTCAGAAACCCTATACAGTGTTGTTATGAGTCAGAACCGACACCATGGCACACCACCACCACCACCATAGGGTTTCAAGGAGAAGCTGGTGAGCCTGAACCACCGACCTTGTGGTTCAAACAACTTTGCAGGCCAGCACTATAGCTCACATGACTAGTAGCCCACATAAACCACAGCAAAAGAAGAGCTAGATGGTGCCCATTACCACTATGGACCAATATGACCAATATTACAACAGACACTCTTGGGTAGAATTGGTATAAAAAAAAATGTAGACTAAAACTCAAAACCGAAAAATAGCAAGACCAGACTTATTGGTTGAAGACTAGAGGAGATCCCCAAGACTATTTCCCTAAGAAAAATTATTATTTGAAACTAAAGACAGTTCAGAGGCCACCTTCCAGCCAAATAATAAATGGGACTATTAAACAAATAGCATGAGGAATGTGATCCTCAGATCAATTACATTATACAAAAAGAGCAACATGCGCCCCAAAACAAAGGAGACAGGGAAGGACAGGGAAACCAGATGAATGGAAACAGGGAACCCAGGGAGGAAATAGAGTGACTGTTGATGTATTACAGAGATTGTGACCAATGACACTCGACGGTGTATGAACTAATCATTAGGAAAACAAAATTTGCTTTGCAAACTTTCACCTAAAGCACAATAAAATGTGTTAAAAAGAAGGAATGCCAGGTAATCTGTTACCAAAAATTTAGTCATTGAAAGCCCTATGGAACACAGTTCTACTCTAACACATATGGGGTGACTAACAGTTGACGTCAACTAGATGACAACCGGTAACTTTTTTTTGGTATGAGATCATTGAAATTATATCTTAAAATGGAATGGGAATGAGATGTAAAGATTTCACAAGGTTCTTTTAAAACTTTTGGATGTATTTAGAGTAAATATGAATTTCTATCAGATCTCATAAATAAAATATTAATGCATCTCATTTATCTAACTATGTATTTGAAATTATACTTCCTGGCAGAAATTTAATCTCAGCTTTCATTTATATAAATATCATTGCTGAGTTATCCTCTCATATGGGTTCTGGATAATTTTTTGGCCTAATGTGTAAACGGCTGTGGGCACAGAATGGGTGTCTTCCACAGTGAGTAGAGTATATCCTAATCACTGTTTATCGATTCTATGTTATTATCTCTTCTCCATGATCTTGCAGGCTCACTTGTGTTCTGTTATATTCTTCCAATTAGATTGCCTCACTCTAGGTACTTCTGTTTAAATAGGCTTCTAGTTCCCACTCTTCTTATTTCCATTTCTTCTTTTTCCTTCAAGTTATCTATCGTACTGGCTGTCACAGTGTTTTGAGCTCATATTCTGCTTGATCGCCTTCTAATACTTCTTTAACATTTCTTCTACGATTTCAAAAAGTTCTTATCATGTTCTACCATTTTTATTCTTCTAAAAATGTTACACCCTTGATTAGGTGATATAAATACTGAAAATTTCATGAAATTCTTCAAATCAAAATATGTCCCCATGTACATAAGACTTTTCTACTTACTTATCATCTCTGGTAACATCAGAATTTGTAAGTTAACAAGAGAGGTTTTCTGTGATTACTGGAGATGAGAGCCTTTATTGATGCTCTCAGATAAGCTATTGACTTGGGGATTTATATGTAGCTGTACACACAGACACAGAGACACACATCCTTGCATCCTGCTTATATATTATGGCCAATAAAGACCTAATCTTGAGTAACAGCTGTTCCTAACCCACGGTTCATTCTTGGTTGGTGTTTTCTTTGCTCTAACATACAGGATTTACAAAATTAATTAAGGAAAGTCAGATCCTTCCAAGGCCTTCTTCATTTTGCTTCTTTCTCCTTAGGAGAGTCTATTCACTGGAGCCAGATATCTGCTCGGTCATCCAATGAAGGCTTTTGGTCTGAGCCAGAGGCTGTAAATGTGGAACTCACAGCATATGTATTGTTGGCCCAGCTTACCAAGGCCAAACTGACTCAAAAGGAGATAGCCAAGGCCACTGGTATAGTGGCTTGGTTGGCCAAGCAACGCAATGCATATGGAGGCTTCTCTTCAACTCAGGTAAACTGCTTGCTCTCCTCACTGCCATTTATCAGATAGGATTAAGTGTGTGTGGAGATAGAGAAGAAAATGCTGCCCTCACTGTCTAGGTACAGGATCTTACAATTTTAGAGACAGAAAATGCATGGAAAAAATAAACAAAATTATTCATAAAATTGTATCATATGAACATATAAATAGTACCAGATTTATTTAATGCTTTTTCTTTGTAGAATATGAAATATCTTGAGATCCATGTTTTACATATAAATAGGATATACATAATTCTGGTGAAATTGATACATTAATAAATCAAAAAGCCAGTTTTAGGGACTGTAACATAAAATCATATATAATGAGCATACCTCATTTTTTTGCTATTACAGAAGCAAGAATATAATCCTTACTAAAAAGCTTACAGTCTAGAAGGAAAACTGGACAAGTTCTATGTATTATAAAACAGGATCTGGTTATAACATAATAAAGATAAAAAATGCTATAGAATTCCAAAAGGGAAAGAGAACTTACATCAGCTTAAGAGATAAGAAAAGTCTTCACAGAGGAATGGCATTTGAGGTAGATCCTCGTGGCACTGTGGGTTAATGCGCCAGACTGCAAAGCCACTTGAACTGCAAGGTCGGCGGTTCAAACTCACCAGCTGCTCCTTGGAAACCCTATACAGTGTTGCTATGGGTCGGAATCCACTCAACGGCACTTGACAACAGCAACAATTAAAGGATATGTAAAATATGATAGTCAAATATTGAAGGGAAGTTCAAATGATGAGTAGTGACATCAATCCATACAATTGTAAGATGGAATTTCAGGAGTCCTGGTGGTGTAGTGGGTTTTGCTGGGGCTGCTAAATGCCAGATGCTACC